TTACAGTACAAATACATACAGTACAGACACAGTACAAATACATACAGTACAAACAGACACAGTACAAACACATACAGTACAAACAGACACAGTACAAACAGACACAGTACAAATACATACAGTAGAAACACATACAGTAGAAACACATACAGTAGAAACAGATACAGTACAAATACATACAGTACAAATACATACAGTAGAAACACATACAGTACAAATACATACAGTAGAAACACATACAGTACAAATACATACAGTTCAAAAAGATACAGTACAAATACATGCAGTACAAACAGAAACAGTACAAATACATATAAACACATACAGTACAAACAGACAGNAGACAGTACAAATATATACAGTAGAAACACATACAGTACAAATACATACAGTACAAACACATACCGTACAAATACATACAGTACACACACAAGCAAAAGAATGTTGCCCTCTTCTTACCTTTCAGCAATGAGCAATAATGAAAGGAGGTTTTTGAGACAAAACAAACAATGTTGGCTTTATGAAAACTGAAAGATCACAAGAAGAAACTTCACACTGCCTTCTATGCATCTGTAAATAAACACACCTTTACTTAGAAAACAGCTGTGTTTTATTTTCTCACATAAAAAAGTCACAATTTATAACAAAACAAAATTCACTGTAAAACAAAACATTCTTCCCAATCTTTGACTAAGTCAGTGGTTCCCAAAATTTGCATCAAAATCTAAAAAAATACAATACCCCCTGCCCCAGCCCCGACCAAGGCAGTGCACTACACAGTCTGAGCACCACTGTTGTAGTTGTTGTAGCTGTTCAATAAAAAAAGTTTAAATTGGTYTCAAGTTGAATTTAAAACAATATTTAACAAGGTTTTACAATCAAGTCTGAATTTAAATTTATAACAATAATTTGTTTTATATTGTCTTCTTTAAACTCTGCTGCCTGTAGTTTTGGACGGGGGGTAGCGTGGAGCATTCTTGGAGCTCCTCTTGTCAGAACAGTTGCAGCAGAGGAAGGCCCCACCGATGAGGATCAGACAGGAAGCTCCCCATCCAACATACAAGGCGCTCCCAAATTCATACCTGTGAACGACATGAGAATCTGATTTTACAGCCATGAATATCTGAGTCGTGTCAGATTTACAACGTCCAAACATTTTTCTCTGAATTTAGTTTTCACAGTAGACTTCTGGAGAAATGTGCTTATTTACTGTATTTTACAGTTATTAAACTTCTTCAAATTTTACACAGCTTATACACAACATACYTTGGATTCTTTTGGTCCACAGGAAACTTTTATGTGATATTTATTTAGACATTTTGGTGTTAACTCGCAATGTATCGGCTGCAGTATATTTTCATGTTGTGGTTYTGTCTTGCCTCTTTATAGCACGACCCAGGCTGCCAGGGATTTTGAATTTGCATTATAAGCTGTTCAAACAATTTGATTGGTTGTCTTCTTTTGATTGAAACCTTTTTTGGCCACTTGGGTTAATTTATTGGCTCTCGAGTATGGAGAGAAAATAGACTCATACAGTTTGTGTGTGTAACACCCCATGTTTTGCATAAAATAGTTTTTACGGGTTACAAGTCATGTTTTACACACACACACACACAGAAACTTTATGAGTCTATTTTCTCTCCATACTCGAGAGCCCAAAATGTTTGGCAATCTCCTAATTCCCGCACACAGTACATGTGAATGATTGACTGTAGGATCGGCCAATCATCTTTGAGCTTCATTCTGACACTACAGCTTTGAAGCCAATCAAGTTACCTTTTTCAATATGCAGATTTGGGGGCAAAGACTCAGGCTGTGTCTCAATTTGTGGGTTGCAGCAGATGTTGGCTGCATTTTTCAGCTGCCTACATCCCTGACCCGCTAGGCTGTCCTAATAGATCATTTCAATATTAGAAATTTATCACAAACATGCATGTGCATAGCAAAGCCTAGCTTTTCTTGGTCACAGCTCAACTGGGTAAACGTCATAAAAATGCCATTGTAATAGCTTAAATTCAACGAGTTCAAAAAGCACATGAATAGCTTTTATATTTATGAAACTTCTCATCTATGATCCTAAAGGAAAGTTTYACACAAATCAGTGTAGAGCAAACACATTAGGGCTATATAATGGCATAAATTTACCTGTTGAATTTGCACAATGGCATTTCCATAGAGCATCAGCTTTTTCCCGATAATCYTGTGGTCAGCTTGCTTCGCTCTTGCACGTTTGTGATAATTTCTAACTACAAAATGGTCCATTTGTATGTGGCCAACAAATGTGGAGACAAAACTTTGAAAACATAGGGTGCATCTCAGTAGCCTACGTGGCCAACTATATCCCAGAATTCATTGCYTCATCAACAARAACAGGAAAACAAAGGTGGAGGTTTTTTTTATTATTCTATGAGATTCTATCAAATTCAGAGATTTTGTTTTGTTTTTGCCTCTCATTTCACAGCCATTAATGCAGCCGACAGGCAACAGCCTGTGGCCCACATAGACTGTGGCCAATGTGGGGCGAGGTCTACGTCGGCTACAACCCATGAACTGAGACAAAGCCATCGAAATTTCTTTCCTTTTTTTTTCCTCGAAGTTTCTGACATGGCAGGCATTTTGGCACGAGTGATGACAACAGCAGACATAGAATAGATGTTTTTTGTGCCCTTTTTTTTTACAGTTAGCCGCAGGGGTGAAAGTAGTTTTAAGTTCGTGCCAGTACTATTACATAAATGACATTAACTGTCCCCGTGTAAGAAG